TACTTGAATATGCCACAACAACTTATCTCCAGGTTCTGAGCTAATGATGTTGTGAATATTCATTAGAATGAAGTTAGGCACTGATTTTAGGAATGAAACCTTGAGCTGGAGGACTCGTGAACAGCTAGCCAATAATTGAAAACATACATACAACATCCAATATTATGTTATAGATTAATACACACGTTATTCCATGGCGAAACAATATGAAATATTCCACCTGAGGAGATCACGACAGACCCTTCGAGTTTTACTTTTATTCCACCTAAGGAGATCACGACAGACCCTTCTAGTTTTACTTTTATTCCACATGAGGAGATCACGACAGACCCTTCTAATTTTACTTTTTTCTTTATGTGAACTTTACTTCAAAAAAAGTTATTGTTTACATATTTATTCTAGAACTCCCTAGTGGTTTTGGACTCACACCGGTAAAAACCGGGTTTCGATACTCTTGGTGGTCACAGCACACATCGGCCATTGTGCAACTTTGTGCTTATCAACAAACAAACATATTTCTTCTGGTAAATATTACTCATACATCTCTCGTTGACATATCACACTTCTTACACTTTTACATCTCGTTGAAATATTACACTTCTTACACTTTTACACCTATCGTTGATTTATTACACTTCTTAAACTCTTACATCTATCGTTGACATATTACACTTCTTACACTTTTGATTATCCACTCACTTCAATACCATGATGAAATTTTAAGTTTAAGTTTTATTAAAGAAATACTGTAGGAGTTTAGTTGCATTTAAATAAAACTAAAGAGACATTTGCACAAATCATTTATCTATTCCGTAAACCAGTATATTCGGTAACAAAACTATAAAAATTATGAACAAAGTTTGTTGGCCCACACACTACTATTATATCTATGATACACACGATTCACCTCGAAAAATAGAGCACAATCTCTTCAACAGATGAATGATTCAACCATGCATTCTGGTAGAAAACAACTGTAAATATATTAATTTCCATTTAAGTTTCGTATACATTTACTACCACAAAATTACTATTCTAATGTGTGCTATAAAGGTATAACGTTCCTACAGAATTACTATTCTAATGTGTGCTATAAAGGTATAACGTTCCTACAGAATTACTATTCTAATGTGTGCTATAAAGGTATAATGTTCCTACAGAATTACTGTTCTAATGTGTGCTATAAACTTATAACACTCCCGTAGAATTACTATTCTAATGTGTGCTATAAACTTATAACACTCCCGTAGAATTACTATTCTAATGTGTGCTATAAACTTATAACACTTCCGTAGAATTACTATTTTAATGTGTGTCGTCAGTGTGCTATAAACTTATAACACTCCCGTAGAATTACTATTCTAATGTGTGTCGTAAGTGTGCTACAAACTTAGAACACTCCCGTAGAATTACTGTTCTAATGTGTGCTATAAACTTATAACACTCCCGTAGAATTACTATTCTAATGTGTGTCGTCAGTGTGCTATAAACTTATAACACTCCCGCAGAATTACTGTTCTAATGTGTGCTATAAACTTATAACACTCCCGTAGAATTACTGTTCTAATGTGTGCTATAAACTTAAAACACTCGTAGAATTACTGTTCTAATGTGTGCTATAAACTTAAAACACTCGTAGAATTACTGTTCTAATGTGTGCTATAAACTTATAATACTCCCGTAGAATTACTCTCCTAATGTGTGGTATAAACTTATAACGGAGCATCAAATGCGTTATAACGTGGATTACCTGGGAAAGTCTATCAATTTATAACATTTCCACTTAATTAACGTCCTTACTGGTCATTTTGATGGACTATGAATTTGCTGTTTGCGCAGCGTAAAAGAGTGGACACTCTTTTGGTTTTTTTATAATTGCATTACATTTCTTATATGTGAATGGTATTACTTTATTTAACAGTGTGTGAGATACAAAACTAAATATTTCTGTTGTTTTATTTAAAGAAAAGAAATAGAGAGCTATAATAACTGTTACACATTTTATTAGTAGCTTAGTTTCCTTTCAAAAAATTATCTATTTCTTAAATTCCCAGATAGAGTTTCAAACATCTAAAATTAAAACTGAAGAAATTAACAAGTGAGTAATAACGAAATGATGATTTTATGAGCACTGCTAGAGAAAAAGTATAATAATATTTCAAACTTAGAACGCCTTAGAATTCTAAGTGAAAAAAAAAAAGATTTTCCATAAACTTATTGTTTCTCCTGATTTAAAAAATAATAAGTTATAAATGGGTATAAAAAAGCATATGTTAACTAGTCCAATGGCGACGTAAGACTAACTTATGTTTCTCTGTTTTTTCTTTTTTGTTTTTCTTTCTGGCAACGACTTAATACACGTAAATATATGCATATTATTACTGTCGTGTACATAATGTCTTTACATAAAAGTTTTGATTAATAAATAGGTGGATAAATTTTAAGTAACAAAGTTCTTGTGATTTACTGAGGTTTAACTGTTTTTTTTTCTTCTGACACTTTCGTTAAACCAGAAAAAGTTAAACAGAACAACAACATTCAATTTCGGTAATCGACATAACTATCTAGTTTCATTATAGGTTTTTTTTTGTTTGTTTTTGAATTTCGCACAAAGCTATACGAGGGCTATCTGCGCTAGCCATCCCTAATTTAGCAGTGTAAGACTAGAGGGAAGGCAGCTAGTCATCACCACCCACCGCCAACTCTTGGGCTACTCTTTTATCAACGAATAGTGGGATTGACCGTCACATAATAACGCCCCCACGGCTGAAAGGGCGAGCATGTTTGGTGTGACGAGGATTCGAACCCGCGACCCACAGATTGCGAGTCGAGTGCCCTAACCACCTGGGCATGCCGGGCCTTTTATTAAAGGTAATAATGGAGGATCATTTTGAATTGTCGCAATTTAAGCTCCTACAGGATTATTCATATAGAACGTTCTGGTAAGAGGATAAGAATACCATCTTCTCAGTAATTCACCTTACAGAGTTAATATAGGGATAGAAAGTTGCTTTTCTTTTCAAATGTAATTGACAAAAAAAATAATAATGATACGTCACAAATTTATGTCCACACGATCAAGAGTGTATTAATCTAAGGCACAGCGGTATGTCTGCGGACTTACAATGCTAGAAACTGGGTTTCGATACCCGTGGTGGGCAGAGCACAGGTAGCCCATTGTGTGGCTTTGTGCTTAACCACAAACAAACAAGTCAATCTAACGATATAATCCTGAACTAATCTAACATACTTAAGTAGCGAGGAGAATATTTATCACCATAATCATACGATTATAAAATAACAGATATGTGTAAGTAGACTGATTTTAATGTAATCATACAAATCTGAATTATGAGATGCGAGTCGTGGAAAGGATATTCATTTGTTAAAAATGCCGAGGTTCGTACCCCCTTTACTTCCTTTAGAAATATCTCTAAAATAATATTGATCAAAATTGGACCTTAAAAACTTCAGACTGAAAAAAGTATAATAAATAAATCTTTAGAATATAAGAAAATTTGGTCTTTCTTGTTTTGAAATGAAAACTTGCTAACTGAAAGGTTCTCTGTAAACACTTGTTTACAGACAGTAAACAAATTAAGAGAAGAATTTGGTAGAAAGATTCACAGTCTTAAAGCTCATTAGCTTCACCGTAAAAACTTAACAAACAGAGCAAAAATATCTACTGTTAGAAATTATAAAAACATTTAAGATTTGTTTTTAGTTAAGCACAAAGCTACACAACGGCCTATCTATACTCTGCCCAGTGTGAGTATCGAAACTTAATTTTTAGCGTTATAAGTCTGCAGACATACTGCTGAGCCACTGGGGGGGGGGGCAATTAACCAATTCCACAGGGAATTTCAAATAAAAGCTAAGAAGGTTGTCAACGCATATGAAAATATTTTTTTACCATCAAGAAATTTAGTAACTCGTTTATGTGTAACAAATATCTGAACTACCCTTCCCCCCCAAAGAAAAAAAAACAGAAGTTAATACTTCACCATGCATGGTAGGACCTTGTTCCAGCCACGTATATGTATTACATTCCTGTGAAATCTCTTGAACTTTTGTGAAATTGGTTTGCGGAAACAAGCTTATGAAAATGTTATGAAAACAACTAAAGCTTTGTAAAGCTGCAAGGAGAAGATAACATCCCTGAAAAATGTTGGACTTTCCGATGTAGTACTGGACAGTATGTAGCCAAATGACTGCCATATTACATTCACGTATAAACCAAGTAGTTCTCATTCATATTTTTTCACCGTATCAGATCAGAAAAACTATAAGGATGACCAAACCTTGTATTTATTTTATCCAAAGCCAACAATAAATTATGATTATACCTGTTTCTAAGTTCTCAACCTTCTGCCAAGATTAGTATTAAGGTCTCGATGTTACCAGCTGTAGTGTAACCATCTTTCACAGAACTTAGTTGATTAAGATGCCTCAAAAAGTGTCAAAATCTAAAAAATTTCATAAAAACACAGTGTGACACACTTTGAAAATAAAATGAAACAAATATAGTTCTCAAGAAGAAGTCATAAAGATATTTAATTGTAATCTTACAAATAAATATTTTGAATTTCAGGAAGCTCTTCATTGTGTGATAATCCAACAGCACCTTGTCTTTAGATTTTTTTAACAGTTGTTCTGGTATTGAATGATCAGTGATTAAAAAATAAAGGGAGCTAAACACAATAAGTTTTATCAATAAATATGATTGTATTTCTCTAAAAATTAAAAATTTCATAATATTTTAAGAGATTTTAACTGTTGTAAGTCAATGATATATATATACAAAACTTCATAATATTTTAAGAGATTTTAACTGTTGTAAGTCAATGATATATATATACAAAACTTCATAATATTTTAAGAGATGTTAACTGTTGTAAGTCAATGATATATATATACAAAACTTCATAATATTTTAAGAGATGTTAACTGTTGTAAGTTAATGATAAATACAAAACTATTTTTATTTTTTGGTCTTTATCGATGAACGTTGTAATAAAGCTTATTTAAGCAAAGTAGAATTTTGAAATAGTTTGACGTCATTTATGAAATAAGATGGAACCAGATTCAAATAATTTAATTTTTCACTATATATTTGCTTTAGGTTCATAGTTAAAAGTATACACAACATCGTTTATAAAACAATTAAGAATAAAGTGGATAAAGAAATACAAAAACACGATATTTACCTACACTGATATAAATGCTGGATTAAAGTTTGCAAAAATTATTCTGTAAATTTGAATTAAATTAGCTTGTAGTTAAAAAGCTACAAAATAGTATTTCTACCAGTGAAAAAATTATGAAGTGCTTAAATTTGTAAGCTTTTGCTGAAAGTGAGGTGTTTCTTTTTTATTATATATTTACAATAAATTTAGGATGCAGTCAATACTGCCAACACCCACCTTTCTTAATGCGGTGTATGTTAAAGAATGGAAAATACAATGGAGGTTAAAGGTCTTCGTACCTGTGATCAAGGTGTCAGCTGGAGACACGTTTGAACATAAAGATCAAATAACGGTATTGCTAAACCTAAAATCAAAATTTTCAAAATCCTTATATTTAAAATCAGATGACCTAACAGAATGTCAAAATTTCTGAGTAACACCTTCCAAACTATATCAAACCAAACTATTTTCAGTACCACTATTTTGTTATACATGACAGTTTTTATCCACTTTGTTGTTTTTAACAACGGCACACTTCAAAGAATGGCTGGAAGAAATGGTAGTGTTCTTCAGGCGGTGGAACCGAGTCTAACGCCTGAAAAACAAAATATAATATGAACGATGAAATACCAACGTTTTACATAACATTAAAGTAATAATTTAAAAGTAATCGTTTTTGGTAGCCTACGCTCTTTTCATATTTGTTTTTATAGATTAACTCATTTCAAGAATGCCTTGCTAAGACCTGTGTTCTTTAATTCCTGTCACATGTAATATTAAAGTCACATATATATATATATATATATATATATATGGATGTGTGTGTTTGTTTATACATTTATCTTGGAATATAAAAAATGTTACATAATCATTTTTGTAGAGTTATAACAAGAACTAATTCGGTAGCAAATTCGTATTACTTATTTTTATAAATTTTATTTCCCCAGTAATTAAAATCGGACATATTTTCGTTTATACACTAAAACCTGAAATACGTGTTTAGTTTCCATTATTTGCTTTTACAAGACGTAAGGAAAATGGTTGTTTTTATTGATAACATACATATTGTTTTCATACAAAAGCAACAACTACTATGAAAACAGAAAAATGTTTCCACAGTACTCTGAATGTTATGAGTAAAGCTTCTTCAGTTCCTGAACAATCACGTGACCATCAGAGTGAAGAGACACAGTAGTGTTTCAAGAATCGTCCCTGGAGGTTTGTAAATATTGCAGAAAAGTTCTCCCTAAACGCAGGGACAACAAGAAACCTAATGTCTTCTGCACATGCACTTCCCAGACAATTAATGATAATTGATCTGTCAAAGTGACTGTGGTTCAATAGAGATCACATAAATCATAAACGAAGCTTCAAAAAGAATTGGCTTATCGACCTGATAGTTTCAGATATTCATGGCAATATTTGCGGAAATTTAAAGCAACGTAAATAGGATTTTTTTTCCGTTTCTTCAACAACATAGAAAAATGCAGTTTTTTTTATAGTTACATAACAGTTTTCGTGAACACTTAAGATAATCTTATCTTTTTTTGAAGGGTATATGTTTCAAATTTAAGCTCGTTGCTGCATCTAAAACAGTTTTTTAAATCAATGCTTCATTACATTAAAGCTGTTTAAAAGTGTGACTGTATCTTCTGTACTTCATCCGATTGATGTCACTCTTTTCGAAACTCCACCAACTTGGAAAAAACAGTATTTCTAAAACTGATTCCGAAATCATTAAACTTTCCACTTAGATGTTTGGTTTAGTTGTTGTTAAGCGCATATCTATATAATGGCCTCTGCCAATTTATTAAGTTGTCAAAACCAGTGATATAATTGAAGATTTAGTACTCCAGGTTGTATCTATTTTCTTGATAATGTAGAAATATTTCATTAGTTAATTAGTTTCTTATACTTCCATTAAAAGAATCAGATATATCGTGGACCGAAAAGTTCATCAACGAATCGATAGAAGTAACTGGAAAATTTCAGAGTTTAATTACAATTTTATTCGACCACCTTATTACGTTTCAGAGCTATTATAATAGATATCGAATGTAGACGATTTATGGTCGGTAACTTCTTTAGATTAATTTTCCAGTTCACGATCTGTGTTTTGATCCAGGAGGTATCACAATTCAGAGTTCTAGATATGCTAAACAATGTTTTTGTTTTATCCGGATATTTGTCAAGCTGAGCTCCACTTAAAAGAATACTTAGAGGCACTGAGTATTAATACTTGTACGTACTCATGTGACACGTTATGAAATCAATGAAAATGATTTGAGGAGAATGAAATGGTATTAGGGTATACCAGGTTAACCAGCTTTACCAGAACCTTATGAAACCCAATTTCTTTTTTGTGTATCAAGTCAATAGCCGAAAATACTCCAGATTTGTCCTCAATATCTTGGGAGGGTTAGATTCTGACAGTCCAAATTCAATAATTAGTTATAAATTAGATATTAATTTAAGTACTTCCCAGATTTTAAAATGTGGTACTGTTAGGTTTGAAAATTTAAGTGTTTATCCTAAAATGACACTCGCTTGTTACAAATATATATATAATGCTTTCAACCCTTTCTCTTTGGAACAGAACAGCTGAACTTGTAAAAGCATTTGCTGACAAGCCAACTGAACACTCGTGAGAGAGTTTTGATAATTTGAACTGAACATGTGTCAGCATCATTCTTTTTTCCACCTCTACACTCCGGGTTTGTTTGCTTGTTTTTTGTTGTTGTTGTTTTTTTTGTACGGGATTTTGCAAACTCTATATGACGTGAGGGAGATCTAGGGAAATGTGAACTATATCAAAATTCAAATCGATTTTTTCACCATTATATTCGCACCTTTTAAAAGAAAAGGCTTGCTTATCACCATATGCTTTTACTCGTTCCGACGAAAATTCTGGACAATGAAAGCTTTGATTAAACCAAAAACTTTATTGCAATATTTATCTATATCTACCGTTTTCATTACAGAATCACTTGCCTAGTTTCAGGCTATTTTCAATAGTCAAGAGATAGGGAAAGATTGTTTGTTTGTTACTTTTAGCAAAGCCACATTGGGTTATCTGTTGTGTCAACTTCGGAGACTCGAACACCGGATTTTAGCATTGTAAGTCCATAGACTTACCGCTGTCCCACCGGTAGACATAGAGAAAGAGAAGAATCGAAAATGATATCGAAGTTAATGTTTCTAACAAAACCTCAAGCTTAAGCCTTAAGTAGATAATAAGTAAAGAAAATACTAAAATAATTAAAATAGTGTTAAAACTCTACAAATTCGTATCTATCAGTTTTAATATCCATACCTTCTTTAATTCGGCAACATAAAGTTCCTTTGCTTCTTTTTGTGACATCTCACCAAGGTCAGACCAAACTTTCCTACGACAAATAAAATAAAAACATTTTCGAAAACTTTGCATCTCAAATCTTACAACTACGCTGTAGCCTCATTCTTTAAAATGTTTACAAGCAAAATTCCAAATTTTCCATATTTGTTAGTGCGCTCAAACGATTTACTGTTATTTCAATTTTTCACTCATACTTCTACCGAACTGACAGCTTGAAGCGTTTTGAATATATATCATAAGGTCCATCTCGAAGTATAGGTTTATTATATTCACAGCAAAGTGTCTAGACAACATTCTCTATTATAGTATTTTGGCACTTGTGTATAAAGTTAAAATCATAAATATTCAACGTTAAAGTGGTACACAATTAAAAATGATGACGTTGTAACGTCGAAAGATGTAGAGTCGTCAACTTTTTGAAGGCCATAGATAGGCCTAAATAAAATGTTTTTAATTGTGTACCAGTTTAGCGTTGAATATTATTTATGATTTTAACATTTTCTGTTTTAGTGAAGTTGTGTAGGCTCACATATCGCTGAACTAAACATCGGAAAATAATTCGTTTTATTTTTAGTATACTCAGCTAAAAAAATTTGGAATAAGAATTCAGATCCAATACTATAAATTTAGCTTTACTATATAATATTTAATTTGCATGTGAGGTACATCTACCATAAAGAACAATACACAGTACAAAGATACATCTATAAAATTTATATTTCAGATAATACAGATCATATTGTTATGAAATCAAGAATACTAAATATTACGAAACAATTCTCTGTAGATCACTAATAAACTTAAGGATTAGCAATCTGTGTTGTTTATTAGCAGCAATCAATTTTTATTGTTACCAGTTTTATGTTTCTGTGGGTGCTATGATTGGCTTGTATGCATTTCTAAATATTAGCTTGACCAATTGTTGAAAAACATTCGTAATATCATACGAATTCTAATAGGAAGAATTAGTTATATACATGTCACGTGAGACCTTATCCATGCAATAGAGATAGTATTGTACATAGGCTCCGCCTTTACACTGGATCATCAACTAATTGCAATATAACGTATTCATGCGTTGTTGCCATATATCGGTGATGGCTCTGAAGGAAAACCTTAAGCCTGTAATCTGATTATAAAACGTAATAAAAAGGTCAAACATATTTACTTCAGAAAAACTGCACTAAAGAAAAATGTTTTGAAAAAGAAATTAAGAAACAAAAAGAGTGAAAATTTATGGTAGACAAATAAACTGTTACACTTTTATAGATATATATATACACAAAGGAATATTTGTTATCATATATAAATATATATATATATAAAAGAGGAAGTTTGTTTATTTTGTTCGCTATAGGAAACCAAAAGATTGAACTTACAAATTGTAAAATAACTTCATAAGAAATTTAATGGTGCTATTTATTTTGCATTTGGTGTAGTATTTAATGACGAAATTGACAATTAATGGTTATTGCGCCATTTTTTTAAAATAAATTTTTTGTAATAAACATAGAAACATAAGCACATTTTGCACATAGAAAGCGTTATGGTGGGAGACACTCAGATCACCTTGCTGTCAATTCAGTATTTCCAAAAACAGTTTTCTTTAAATAGTGCTAAGTGGTTTTATAAGTGATTTAGTAACTTTGTGAATTGCAACTTATTGTTTAGTGATACAGGTGATTTTGCCACCCAAGAAACGACCTTTCTATGGAAAGTCTTTTGCCGCTAAAAGAATGCAAGCACAAAGAGCAGCTGAAACAGAAGAAGAACGCAATCAAATACTTCAAGCAGAAGCTGCAAGACAGGCTGCTCAAATACAGGAAGAGACTCTGGAACAACGTAAAGTTAGACTTCGAGCTCAAGCTGAAAGGCAGGCTACTCAAAGACAGCAAGAAACTGTTGAACAGCACAAAGTCAGAGCTCAGTCAGAATCATCAAGGCAAGCTGGATATAGACAACAATAAACTTCTGAACAACGTCAAACCAGACTTCTATGATTAAAGAATAGCATCTCATGTTAATCTATCAGGGTTTATTTTATTATGTTTTCGATACATCAACATTTACACTTGTGAGCTGTTTTTTAATGGATTGTTCTTGTTGTTGTTTTGTCCTATCCTGTGACTTAGTCACAAATTTAAACAAAGAATTTTAAAAATCAGTCAATAAAATCTCAGTCTCTCATGATATAAAAGACTGTTTAGTTTAGATATTATTGATTAATTTATTTTGTGAGTGAATATTTTATTATTGCTTAGTTTTTGTTATAATAAGAGTTAAAAGCAGACGATCGTAGGAAGCTGTGTTTATGAGTCATTGATGTTGAGACTATCCAACGTCGCGTGCAACACACTGATGTCGAGAATAGAAATTTCTAGAAGGTGGGCAGACGATTAAGTGATAAGCATATAAATAGTGTTCGGCGTAAAGTTAACTACGGTAAAAGTAATAAGCCTAACGATTCACAGAAGGAACAGAGAATATTTAGAAGAAAGAAGACCAAACGATTAAGACAACTCGTGCCACAATTGTAAGTGAATCACATACAGAATACTAGTGCTATAACAATAGGGAATATAGTATAGCTTGTTAACGGAAATTCTAAAGTGATTGAATAGGCCTAAGTAGACTTTTGACAAGAAGAAGATATGTGAAGATAATTGTTTATGATATACCTATAATCTCTATAGTGTGAAGAATTTATTGTACATACGTTTAACTTGTTCCGAATATATATATATATTATTTTGAAAACAAGTGAAGTGCGTGTTGTTCATTTATCGTTGAATTTATCGCCGACAAGTCACAGACACCTACTGTAGAAGAATCCTAAACCCAACAAAACACAGTATATATTTATACTATTAAGTAAAAGCCTTTTATTTTGATAATTTGTGAAAAAATTATATTTTTAAATTCTGACAGTATACATAATCTGAAGTATATGAATCTAAAACGCTTAGAATTTAGCCCCACTATAATTTCGTAACTACGCCCTTATTAACTAAAGTAAAAATCAATAGTAGCTAAAACAACATCTGCAAACTTTCTTTGATTTTACTCCAAAATAA